CCTACTGTTATGACTAAGCTGAATTAGTCTTCAGTCCAATTGTCCACAGTAGTTCTCTTTGCCTGTTGTGGGCAGTTTGGTCCCTGTGGTATTGGTGGGCCACCTGGGCTGCCTTAGGCTTGAGTTGGGTCAGAGCAGGGTTTGTCAGAACTGGGGTCACACCAGTCTGCAGGGCACTCTCCCTGTGTTGTGCCCTGAGAAGCTTTTGTTGGTTGGCAGGGACTGCAATGAGACCAAATGTCTGGGACCCAAAGTTTTGTGTGTGGTTTTCTTCCTCTCCCTGGGTAGGAGTCACTTTGGACTGGTGCCAGCCCCTCTAGGTGTTGCTTGCACAATGCCATGCTTTAGATGGACTCTTGCTGATGGTAGGTTGGAAGAGTCAGGCTTACAAGACGGTGTGGGGCCAGCTGTGTGGTTTTAGCAAGGTGTGTCCTGGTCTGCTGTGGGAGGGATCTGTAGTTGTTCTGGAGAACTGGTGAGGCCCAGCTGGAGGGGGCAGGCTGGGGAAGAGCACAGGGACTGGGTGTGCTGAGGTGAGTGAGGGAAATAGCACCTGTCAGCAGTTCTGTTCTTAAAGTCTCCTAAAGATCCCTGTCCCTCTAACACATACTCTGAGATTAGTAAACAAATCTTTTTCCCATATACCATAGGTGTTTTTCAAACTTCTGTTTCTATGCTATATATCAGTGGGGCTGTTTGTTATGCTGTCTCTTTAAGGACAGGGATTCAGTTTCCTATTGCCCTCCAGCTCTCCCAGAGGGGAGTCCACTATTTTTAAGCTTCTAATTGTTAAGCCCCACTGACTGTAAGAACTCAAAAAGTTAAGCCCCTCTGGTTTCAAAGCCAAACATAGGGATTCGTCTTCCTGCGTGGGTCCTCTGTGCCTGGGGTGGCTGATGTGAGGTCTGCTCCTCTCTCTTTCTCATGCCTGTGATGTTCCTCCCTCCCATGGACAGTCTTGCCAGTCAATTTGATTTCTGACTATACATTAGCCCTTCCTACCTTTTTCGACGTGGCCTACTTCTCTACATTTAGGTATAGAGAGTCTGTTCTGCCAGTCTTTGGGTTGTTTTCTGGGTTATTTACATGGATGTGGGTGTTATCTAGGTATATCCATAGGATGAGGTAAGCTTAGGATCCTCCTACTCCACCATCTTACTCAGAAGTCAGACTCTAAAATTTTTAAAATATATTTTCAGAAATTAAATAACTTATTTAAAAAACTAGTAATAAAATTCCTGGCAAAGTTCTTTATCTGAAATTTTACTCATCATTACACTTTGGATTTTACAGTAAAATCAAAAGTACTGTTCAGTAATGTATTTATGAGAAATATTTAATTGAAAAACAATAGTTCTTACCAGGGAAATGTTTTATTTATTTTATTACAATTCACAGTTACAGATCATAATGTTCTATCCTAATGAAGATGGTATAGTAACAAATGCATAAGAATACTTGTTCTGATATTCAATTTACTTAAAATCAGTTATTATTCACCTGCATGTTCAGGACAACATGCTGAGCTCTAGAGATGCAAAGATTAAAAAGCTGCTTCTTCACCCTCAAAAGTCCATAGTTTAAAGAGGAAGACAAATACATGACAAAACACATATGCTATGTACAGAGAAGTGATGCATATTTCTTATCCATCTTTAGCCCACTGTCTTTCCTCCAGGCTTGAGACGTTCACTTACATTTACTTTTATCCATTTTCACTTTATATGTTACATATATATGTCAGCCTCTGTAAGTCAGTCAGTATGTGACATAAGTAAAAGCTTATATGCAAATACTCAGGGATTATGTATCAAGTGAAGAAACTCCCTTTACTTTTATTTTTTTATCCAGTAAGAAATTTGACTTTTTCCACTTGAATATTTGGTACATAAATTACACACATGATTATTTGAAGACTAAGCACTGTTTCAAATGCTTTATGTAATATAACTCATTTAAGGACAACCTTATGAACAGGTACTATTATCACTCCATTTTACAGACGAAGACACCAGCACACAGAGGGATTAAGTAATTTGCACATACTCATGCAGTTGGTAACAAGCAGAGAATCCTTGATTTGAACCTGTCTGCCCTTCTCTAATATCTGTCATCCTAACTACCACACATACTACCTTTGTGCCATGCTGGCCTTAACCACTGACCATGCTGATCCTTGTTCCATGTTGTGATTAGAAACTGAAACATAAAACATATCTATACTGAAATTCATATAGCTTTTTATGTTCTTCGGAGTACAAGTTCATCAGAGCTGGATTTTTCTTATTTTATGAATTTGTTTGCTGAATTGAACTTGTGTTTAATCTGTGCATGGTATAATTCAAAGGCCATTTCCCACCCCCACCCCCACCCCCCAAACTTCCTACCCAGAGGGAGGCAATGCATCACAGCACAGTCCCTAAGCGAGGGAGTAGCACAGGCAACCAATCCAGTAGAGCTGGCTGCTACCTAGAAGGGAGGGCATTCTCTGTCTCGAATCCCTTAAGGAGCTAGAGCACAAACCAGGCAGAGAGATGATTGAATGGAAAAACGGCTTAAACACTATAAAAACATTTATATTTTTCTCTTATGAAAAATACACTTTGTACCAAAGAATTAACTATAAGAAAGAATACCACAAATTTAGTGGCACAATTTCTGTCCATCTATGGACCTCTAAAACTAAAGAAGCAGGTTATTTGCTCCCAAAACATGCATACAAGCATAGAGTAACAGTTCTATGGCATATCTGTCAAAAAGGGAGAACATGGAAGAAAAAGCATTCGCCAATCCCAAGAAATTTTGAAATCCAGTCAGGCAAATTCCACTGGGTCTAAAGGTGTGGAAACAATACTCTGTGGCTTAGGTTGTCTTGAACAGGTTGTTAGTAAAAATATGGATATTAACAACTCTGTTTGTGAGGACTCAAGAAAATGAGCGTGGTCAAGAAAATATATCACTGGGGCACCTGGGTGGCTCAGTCGTTAAGCGTCTGCCTTCGGCTCAGGTCATGATCACGGGGTCCTGGGATCGAGCCCCACATCAGGCTCCCTGCTCAGCGGGAAGCCTGCTTCTCCCTCTCCCACTCCCCCTGCTTGTGTTGCCTCTCTTGCTGTGTCTCTCTCTGTCAAATAAATAAATAAAATCTTTAAAAAAAAAATATATATATATATATCACCTTAGAGAATACCTGCATGGTCATAAGCAGACTGTTGGTGGAAACACACATGTGAAAGGGGGTTAAAGTGGGTAAAAGGTAGGTTGATGACAGGTACGGGTGTGGGGTTTAGTTATGAGTTTGAGGTGCTGGTAGAATGTGAGGATGCCCATCAGAAAATAGTCTAACAAAATAGTCTTCAACATCTACCGCCCATAGTATTTTAGTAAATGAGGGCAAAGGAATATAAGATCAAATTCTATACATAAACTTCAGAAGTTGCCCTTCCTGGTTGCAGGAAATAACACTTGTATATTAAGATATTGCATAGCTCAATTCAGTTGAAAACTCAACAGTTATTTTCTCAAAGGCCTATAATGTTGAAAGACTTTTAGCTTGAACCACATAAATGACTGGAAAAACACAATAGGTCTAAACCAAGAGATTTATTTTTGTTTGCCAAACTATTATATTTTCAAATTTTCTAGGGACTAATCTCACCCTACAGTAAAAGCTAGCATTTACAGCTGTTATCATTACATAATTGAAACATAGCAGAATCCAAGGGTTTGCAAGTCTCTTTTTAACAGTGGTACTAACTTATAAATTCAGTAAGAGTGCCGGGTTTAAATGCTGTGCCCAGCAGGAAATCTGGAATAATTGGTCCTGTTCTGTACAGACTTTATGGGAGTCTTTTAATGATTGTTGAACATCTTTGACTAAGCACTAGAGAGGAGAGTTGTCATTCTTCTGCCAACTGCTGCATTGTTCGAGGATTTGCTTCTTTATGTCAGAGATTCTCTCAGAGAGGGGGGCAAATTGGGGTCCTGAGTCATCTCTGTAAGAAACATGGGTTCAGGGGTGCCTGGGTGGCTCAGGTCATGATCCCAGGGTCCTGGGATCGAGTCCCACATCGGGCTCCCTGCTCGGCTGGAAGCCTGCTTCTCGCTCTCCCACTCCCCCTGCTTGTGTTCCTGCTCTCGCTATCTCTCTCTCTGTCAAATAAATAAATAAATAAAATCTTTAAAAAAAAAAAAAAAAACATGGGTTCAGCTAGTGCATGAATTTTATTCATTCTGAGAGAGAGCACGAGCAGGGGGAGGGGCAGACAGAAGGAGAAGCAGACTTCCTGCTGAGCTGGGAGCCCAACACAGGCTGGATCCCAGGACCTGGAGATCATGACCTGAGCTGAAATCAAAAACTAAAAATAATAAAAAATATTTGACAAGAGTCGGATGTTTAACCAACTGAGCCACACAGGCGCCCCTATTTATGAAAATATTAAAAAGCCAACAATGTTATGATTTCACCAACTTTATATTCGTTAAAAGAAAAAAATCAACCTTTAAACACAAAGAAATAGTGTCTATTTGCTATTGTAGTTCTTAGTTCTAAGAAAGCTAAGGGAATTTTAGACTGCAGAATTATTTGTGCTTTTAAAATACAAACTCCAAAAGCAAAGATGGAATTGACAAAATGTACTCTTATGCAAAGAATTGCCCATTTATCACCATTTGGGGAAAATGGGTGTGTGTGTATGTTGTGTTTATTGGTATACCCATAATACACATGGTTGACTCATATACAAAAGGCTAAAATGGAAAAGGTCAAGCTTTGAAAATTATTCCTAGAAAATGGTTTTATCCAGGCAAATTTGTATGTGAGTATCTATATATTTTATATACCATAAGATTGAATATGAACATAAGACTGCTTTTTTTTTCATTTCTGTTCATAGAGGTCTTTTAGTACATTTTTTCTTTAGAACATTCTCAGAAACAATTGAAGTACAAAGCTAAAGCAAGAGTATTTCTATATATAACACACAGTATAGTTAAAATCATCATACCAGCTCTTTTAAAATCTCATTGCTGTGGATAGCTTCCCCTAATTCTTCCATCGTCAATTCTTGTTTGGGTTTTTCAGCACTTTTCCTACACGGCAAATTTTCCTCATGTGCATTTTGAACAGTAGGTCCCTGGGCTAACTGATGAGATGCATTTATAATCACATTGTCTTTAGCTCTTAGGGCGTAGGTTTCCTTGGCTTTTGCTCTTTTTTGGCAGAGCTGGAGGTGAAAAGCATCTTGGAAAGCACGGTGAAAATTCTCATTGAAGAAACCATAAATGATGGGATTGACGCTGCTGTTGCAAAAGGCCAGCCAGTGTGCAAAAGGGTAGATGTAGATGTTGATGACCTGCAGTTCATTTGGAGACAGGTCAGTGTAGTCTGAGAGCATCATCAGTGTCCACAGAGGCAGCCAGGAGAGAATAAAAAGCAGGGCCACGATCAGGAGCATTTTAATGACCTTCTTCTTCTTCGACACCATGTGCCACTGTTCCTGGTTCCGTTTGTCTGTGTGGGGCGCCGTCATCTTGAAGAGTGAAATTCCAATCCTTCCATACATGATGACAATGAGGGACAGGGGAACCAGGTAGATGTTGGCAAACAGCACAGTGGTGTAGATCTTCCTCATTTCCTGATTTGGCCAGTCTTCCCGGCACCAGTAGACTGGACTGGTTTTATTCTGGGAGTTGAGTCTCACTTGGTAAAATTTTTCTTCTTGTACATGTAACATTATTGCAGATGGGGACATAATGGCAATGGCCAGGACCCAAATGATCACAATAATGACAAATGCTGTCTTGATAGTGAGCTTTGGTTTAAAAGGGTAGACAATGCACCGGAACCTGTAGTTAAAGGCAAGTATCAGTGGAGCACTGCCTTATACCTTCTGACCAAGTTGTGAATTAAATTTAATTCTCCCACTCATGTTCCCCTCAAAAACAAAGTTACCATTAGCAATAGAGAAGCATGCATTGATATTTTTTGTGAGTGATACAAATTTCAACTCAAAATATGAATAAGTTGAGTGTCAGACACTATATTAGTCACTATTAATAATAGGTGACTGTGGTAACTAGCAGATATTGAACATGAATATTTAGTATTCTGTTCCAGACTCTTTTTAAACTTCCCCACTTAAAAGATGGCAAAATAGGCTTAGAAAAAGTAAAAAAATCTTGCCCACAACTACACATAAGTCCATATTGTTAAACTCTCCTTCATGACCTTCTGTGCTTTGTGCTTGGCCAAATGAACATTAGCAAGCATGACATAAATAGAAGCCTGAGTGATGACACAGAGGCACCCAACCAAACCATAGAATCATGACAAATGTTTAAGCATTTTTGTTTCAGGCCACTAAGTGTTTTGGTGCTTGATTCACAGCTATAACAGTCTGAGAGTTTCCATTACGAGTTCTGATTACATGCCTTCCAGAAGTTCTATGTCCTCTGATGAGCATGGAAATTCAATGTCAGTACCTAGCATAACCCTGATTTCATTTAACTGCAATTTTGCTACTGCGAGTCTCGGCATTATTCATACTCACTATGATAGTTATAATCATACCATATACATCTATATAATACTATATTTTTCAAAGTACTATCACCTATTTAATCTTTCATTTTTGTAATGACTCTGTAAAGTGGAAATATGAAAATTATTACTTTCCAGATCTGCAGATAAGAAAACAAAGCTTTTAGTGGCTCAGCAGCAACTCCATATTAATTTATCTGACATCTCTTCATATACTAATTAACTTGAACATTGCTTGCTCTGTTGTCCTTTATTTCACGTGTAAAGTCTGCTGTCTTAACCTCCAAATTTTCTTTTAGTCTTCTAATTAATGAGTCTCCCCATCTACTCATCCTTAAATTATGGGTAACTTCATAGGCACAATTCTAGGTATCTTGTTCTTTTTGTAAACCAACTATTGGGGCTTCATATATTTTTTCGTTTATTCAACAAATAGACAAAGATGAACATGAAGAAAATGCTCTCTGCCAGGAAATAGTCAATGAAAATATTGTGTAATTATGCTAAAATCATGCTAGAGTTTAGACTTGGCCATTGCATTAGTCAGGGTTCTCTAGGGGAACAGAGCCAACAGTATGTATAAATATATAGAAAGATATTTATTTTAAGGGATTGGCTCATGCGGTTATGGAAGTTGAGAAGTCCCAAGATCTGCAGTTGGGGCAAAATGGAGACACAGGAGAGCCAATGGTATAGTTCCAGTTCATATCCAAAGGCTTGAGAACAGGACAGCCATGGATATGTTACACTCTAAAAGCCATCAGGCTCAAACCCCAGAAGAGCTAATGTAGTTCTAGTCAGAAGACAGAAAAAGAAAGACTGAGGCCTCAGCTCAAAAAGTCAGGCAGGAGGAATACTCTCTTACTTGCAGGAAGGTCAGCCTTTCTGTTTGTTTGTATTTGGGCCTTCAGCTGATTGAATAAGGGCCACCCAGATTAGGGAGCTCAATCTTTTACTCAGCCTATTGATTCAAATGTTAGTCCAACCAGACACACCCAGAATAATGTTTGACCAAATATCTGGGCTCCCCGTGACACAGTCAAATAAAATTAATCATGACAACCGGTTAGGGAAAAAAAAAAATCTCAGTATTCTAGCTCAAGCAATGGGGGATAGTGCCTTGTTCAGGACCAGTGAGCACCCAGAACTGATGGGATTTAAAGAGTGACTAGAAAGAAGTTGGAGAGAAAAGGAAGGTTCAAGGATAAATCTCAAGATTTTCACTTAGATTGGATATGTGATCCTGCCATTCCCTGACTGGGGAAAATGAGAAAAAGAGCTTTTCGTTTAGTTTTTTTTGTGGAGGACTGGTAGTGAAGAAAGTTCAATTCTGGGTCTGTTTAGAGGTGGTTGTTGTTGGATGTTCAGGTGAAATTATTCAGAAACATAAATATGAAATTTAGGAGAAAGACTTAATCTAGAGAAATAGGTTTGGGAGATTTTTTTTGTAGAAGAGACCCTGAAAAAGGCATTTGGGTGCCAGTAGTTGAGAGATGAAGGTGCGGTGGTTTTAAAACAGGTCTAAATTCTTGAACATGCCTTCCAAAGTCCATTGAATGGACTTTGTGACTCACTTCTAATGAATAGGATGCAGAAGGGACACTGCATGACTTTCACTGGCATGTTCTCTTAGGACACACATGCCTTGGACTGATAGAAGTTCAGCTACCTTGAACCTGCCATGCAGTGGAGCCCATGTAGGGCTTGAAAAGCCCCAGTTCTATCTCCTAGCTGTTCAAGTCTTCCCAGTCTGGGCACCAACATAAGGGAAAGGCTGCATTCCTGGCCCTAGAACTCCCTCTCTGATGCCAAGTGGAGCAGAGACAAGGTATATGTTTCCAATCAGTGAAGCTTCCCTCATCATAAATTCATGAGCATCATGAGCCACTAAGTGGTTTGTCTTGGGAGGTGACTTGTTATATTGCAATAGATAACTGAAACTATAGAGAAATGATACATGGATGGGAAGGCAGAGAGCAAAGGGTATGTCACGGCAGGGGAACCATGGTTTCATCACTTTTTAAAAGACCTAAAATGTGAGAGATACAGATGAAATTTTTTGGTAGCTCTATTCAATCCTAATCCTATTCCATCCTGTCGATGTTTTTATGCTTTGACAGTATTAGTCTGCATTTAGAACATTTTAAATTCTATATTATGGCACCATATTATATGTATCATTTTATAGCTTTGAGATTGTATGCTTTTGAGATTTATGCATTTTGATATACATTGACCTAGTTAATTGATTTTAGCCAGCATACAGTTATCCATTGAATATACTTATTGTTTTAACCTTTTTAAAATGAAATCTCTGTAACAGTGAAAGAGTAACTTAGGGATATTTAATACTAAATGCAATGTGAAAGTAAACCTGATAAGCTCAAGATTCAAGTAGAAAATGCAAAGGATATTTTTTTATTCATGGTAGAGATAAATAATTGTAATAGTATTACAAACATTCATAACAAAATAATTTAGTAGTAGCATTATTTACTAGTATAAATTAGTATGCAAAAAAGTAGTAGTAACAGGATGTAGTAAATTTGGAAATAGCTCCCAAATTTTAATGTAAAAAGCTATCTTTGGCATTTCTTGGTTAGCATATATTGTAAATTCTATTCTCTCTACATGGAAACCAAAAAGCTAGATCTATAAGATAGGGTCTTAGATTTATATTGAAAATAGAATCTACCAAGTTGTTTTTTGATGTCAACAATTTTGGGGGTCATTGTTCAGTTTCCCTCTCAAATCTCTCTCAATTGCCATTGCCTTACATCCTCTCCCATCTTGGTTGTTACAAAAGTTTAACTGTTCTTCCTTTCTCCAATCTTACATAACTCCAAACCCTTTCTGTTTTTCTAAAATGAAAATCTAGTCATTATTCCCCTGTATAAAAGACTTCAGTAGCTCCCTGCTGTCTTCAGGACAAATGGAAGACAGGCCCATGGAAAACCTACGTGTGGTCACACCTAATCCGCCATTCCACCCTCCCATGTTCTAGCTGGCCTGCCTCTCTGCACTTTTCTTGATAAATATCCTCCTATTTCAAGTGCCCTATATATATATATCCCTTTCTTTCTTTTTATTTGACAGAGAGAGAGAGACACAGCCAGAGAGGGAACACAAGCAGGGGGAGTGGGAGAGGGAGAAGCAGGCTTCCTGCCGAGCAGGGAGCCTGATGAGGGGTATATATCCCTGTCTTAAGAGATGCTCTTTCCTCTGTTTCTTCTCAAGGTTAATTTCTAAATCTTGAGGGATCAGGATGTGAACCCAACACTCTCTGTCCTGAGAGGTAACTTGATCACTTTCTCCTTTGTACAGTTGTTATGTTAGAGAGTATTATTAAGTATTTGTTAATGTGTCTGTCTCTTTAGGCAGCACTTTGTCTAATTTGTTTTAAGATTTTATTTATCCATTTGAGGAACAGAGAGCCCGACCTGGGGCTCAATCCTAGGACCTGGAGATTGTGACCTGAGCTGAAGGCAGACACCTAACATCTGAGTCACCCAGGTGCCCCTGTCTGATATGTTTTAGATGATATACAGCCCAGGACAGGCACACCTCAACACTATGTGTAAATGAATGTATTAGTACATTTTCTCTTAAAATCTGGATAAAATTTCAGATTTATTTCACCACATTTTCCACCATTAGAAAAGTGAAGGTTCTAGTGAAAAACAGTATAACTATGATGTTATGGATTTTATGTTTGTGTCCCCCCAAAATTCATACCTTGAATAAGGGTTAGGGTTTCAAATGGTAGATGGAGGTAATTCGGTTCAGATGAGATCAAAAGGGTGGTGTCCCCATGATGGGATTAGTGTAAAAAGAGGAGACTAGAGCTCCTGGTTCCACAGAGAGGATGGCCTTTTGCAAACCAGGAAAAGGTCTCTCACCAGACACAGAAGCTCCTGGCATCCTGACCTTGGACTGCCCAGCCTCCAGAACTGTGAGAAATAAATTTCTGTTGTTTCAGACACATACTCTATGGCATCTTGTGACAGCAGCCCAAACTAAGACACATGTCATCCTAATTATTTAATTTAAAAAATGGAAATTTTAATAGTTTTATTTTATTACTGAACCTTTAGCAGATATATGCCATGCTCTTAAAAGAGTAGATATTATAATATTGGGCAGGTATAACTGAATTTAGTAGGTTATACGTTTTTCACTAGATTCAGATTTTGGTGCTGACTTACCTATCCACAGCTATCGCAACTAAAGTAAAGACTGAAGCCGCAACTGATATTCCCTGGATGAATCCACTGATCTTGCACATTGTGCTTCCAAAGGGCCATCCTGAAAGGGATGTGAAACAGTCTTTGAATAGATCATATATATTTTTTAAAATATGAACAGAAAAGCATGAAATCAAAACTGATGCAACTATTTCCTAAATGACATCCAGGGAACATTGTTTTCCATTATTTTCATTAATATCTCCAGAGCTGTTTTTAGTATACCACTAATAATGTCAGAACTTAATTATAACTTTAATATACTACTACTAGTGTCAGTTACAACTTCTAGGCACTGTAGTAAGTGCTTTGTACCTATTAACTTATCTAATTCCCCAAACAGGCTTTCGAAGGCTTTATTCTCCTCCTCATGATATAGAATAGGTAATAAATACACAAATATCACATACCTTGCCACTGTTAGTTAGCATACTTAGGATTTCAACCCCAGCTGTATGGTTCCAGAGCCTAAACCATTAACCCTTATTCAGTAAAGCCCTTTAAATGAATAAGACAGGCAGAATATTGGTTTTATAATTTGGAAATATACCCCATAAATTATGAGGAACAGGAGGTACATGTAGAATAAATATTTATTCATATATAATATAGAGTGAATGTTTGTACCCCCTCCCCATTCAAATGCATATATTGAAGCCTTAGTGTATTTGGAGGAGGGGCCTCTGGAAAATAGATAGTACCACAAGGGTGGTACCCACATGATGGGATTAGTGCCATTAGAAGAAGAGAGCTTTCCTTTCCATGAACATGCACTGAGGAAAGTCCATGCGAGCACACAGCAAGAAGGTGGCTGTCTACAAACCAAAAAAAAGGACCCTCACCAACCACCTGACCATGTATCACCCTGATCTCCGACTTCTAGCCTCTGAAATAGACTAGGTGGCTTAAACAACAGACATTTATTTTCTATGGTATTTTGTTATAGCAGCCTAAAACATACTTTGAGAAGCAAGAGCACTTTACAAAAGTAGTCTATTTGAATTACTTTCTTATCAAACCTCATTTACTGAAATGTTTGTTTATAAAGGAAATAACCACCCATCTGCTATTACAGGAAAGTAAGCAACTATTCTAGTTTCCTAAAAGATAAGGCAACATTCATTTTTTTTTTTAAAAGATCATGCAATTTATTTTTACCTCTTTTTTTTAGATTTTATTTATTTATTTGACAGAGAGAGTGGCAGACAGAGGGAGAGTGAGAAGCAGGCTCCCCACTGAGCAGGAAGCCCGACGTGGGGCTAGGTCCTAGGACTCTGGGATCATGACCTGAGCCGAAGGCAGACGCTTAACCAACTGAGCCACTCAGGCACCCCAATTTTACCTAATTTAAAATATTCCCCCCAAATCTAAATAATCCAAGCATATCTAAAAGAAAATATTTTGTCATCTATCCAGACCATCTTAAAATAGATGCTTGAGTGACTCTACTGAATAGAAACCAAGAGAGAGCATGTTTTTCCAGTCCTAAAATTATTGGGCTGTTACAATATTAAACAAAAAAAGCAAAAAGGAGTGTGAATAGCCTTTGGTCAAAAAAAAAAAAAGGGGGGGGGGCGCCTGGGTGGCTCAGGTCATGATCCTGGAGTCCCTGGATCAAGTCCCGCATCGGGCTCCTGCTCGGCAGGGAGTCTGCTTCTCCCTCTGACCCTACCCCCTCTCATGTGCTCTCTCTCATTCTCTCTCTCAAATAAATAAAATCTTTAAAAAAAAAAATAAGCATATGATTTATCTTACCTCCCTCACTAAATTCCACTAAAATGAAAGCACTAGGGAAAAGAAAACTCAACTGGAAAAAATGTGAAGCTGGGAAAATAACACAATGGGCTGAATTATGAATAAATGTAACCAGATGCCACTTGCTTTTCCCCTGGCCAGCAGAAGGATGGAAGTTATTCTGAGGAGGTGGAAGCAAAGGGGCTCTAGACTCTGACTCACCAGGTACAGGTGGGGTGGGTACCACAATGATGCAGAAGGATTAAGTAAAAATATATGCTCTGCACTCAGTTCTGTTGCCCAGGGACCCACTGAGCTCTGGAATTCAGCCAGTATTATGATTCCTCTGGCAATAGATCAGAGAATTTCCTTCTGGGGAATGTGATCCTTCCAAGAACACTAATGTGCAGATTTTGACAGTCATGGATTTCCCAATGAATGTGAGAGTGGGCCGAACCTCAAACCTGAGGCACGCAGAGGTCCAAGACAGCCACACTGTGTCTCACTTTGAAACACAAGCAGCTAAGTAGCAATTGACATAAGGGAAACCTCAAATATAGAAGTGACTATAACAAATAGGAAAAATCAAGTAGATGAAAATAGTCAGATGTATCAAGGAGAAAGGACACAAAATTACAAATGAGAAAAAAAGAAAACAACCAACACCACAGAAATACAAAACAGTTATGAGAATATACAACCTAGAAGAAATGGATAAATTCCTAGAAACATATAACCTACCAAAACTGAAACAGGGAGAAATAGAAAATTTGAACAGACCAATTACACAACAAAGAAATTGAATCAGTAATCACAAATTCCTGACAAAAGTCCAGGACCAGATGGCTTCAAGATGAAGAGTTAATACCTATTCTCCTCAAACCATTCAAAATTTCCAAATTCATTGTATGGGGCCAGCATTACCCTAATACCAAAACCCGATAAAGACACCATGAAAACGGGAACTATAAGCCAGTATCTCTGATAAGCACAGATGCAAAAATCGTCAACAAAATACTAGCAAAATCCTACAATACGTTAAAAAAAATTATTCACCACAACCAAGTGGGATTTATTCCTGGGCTGCAAGGGTGGTTCAATATTCACAAATCAATTAACATGATATATCAGTAAGAGAAAGGGTAAAAACCATATGATCATTTCAATAACGGCAGAAAAAGCATTTGACAAGATTCAATATCCATTCATGATAAAAACCCTTCAGGAAAGTAGGTTTGGAGGGAACATACCTCAACATAATAAAGGCCGTATATGGAAAGCTCACAGCTAACATCATCCTTAATGAGGAAAAACTGAGAGCTCTTCTCCTAAGATCAGGAATAAGAGAAGGATGTCCACTCTCACCACTTTTTTTTCAACATAGTACCATAAGTCCTAAGCACAGCAATCAGACAAGAAAAAGAAGTAAAAGGCATCCAAATCAGTAAGGAAAAAGTAAAACTTTCACTATTTGCAGATGACCTGATACTCTATACTGAAAATCTGAAAGACTATGCCAAAAAACTGCTAGAACTGATACACGAATTCAGTAAAGGATACAAAATCAATGTACAGAAATCTGTTGCATTTCTATATACTAGTAATGAAGCAGCAGAAAGAGAAATTAAGAAAACAATCCCATTTAAAATTGCACCACAAATAATAAGATACCTAGGAAGAAACCTAACCAAAGAGGTGAAAGACCTATACTCTGAAAACCATAAAACAGATGAAAGACATTATACTTCCAATGCCTATCAAAATACAAACATCATTTTTCACAGAACTAGAACAAACAATCCTAAAATTTATATGGAACCACAAAAGACCCCAAATAACCAAAGCAATCTTGAAAAAGAAAAGCAAAGCTGGAGGCATCACAATTCTGGACTTCAAGTTATATTACAAAGCTGTAGTAATCAAAACAGTATTGTACTGGCAGAAAATTAGACACATAGATCAATGAAACAAAATAGAAAACCCAAAAATAAACCCACAATTATATAGCCAGTTAATCTTCAGCAAAGCAGGAAAGAATATCCAATGGGAAAAAGACAGTCTCTTCAACAAATAGTGTTGGGAAAACTGGACCACTTTCTTATACCATACACAAAAATAAACTTGAAATGTATTAAAGACTTGAAACCATAAAAATCCTAGAAGAGAACACAGGCAGTAACTTCTCTGACATCATAGCAACTTTTTTTCTAGATATGTCTCCTGAGGCAAAGAAAACACAAAAATGAACTATTGGGACTTTATCAAAATAGAAAGCTTTGGCACAGTGAAGGAAACAATCAACAAAACTAAAAGGCAACCTCTGTGATGGGAGAAGATAAACAGCTCAACACCCCCAAACCAAATAACCCCATTAAAAAATGGGCAGAAGACATGAACAGGCATTTCTCCAATGACAACATACAGGAGGCCAATAGGCACATGAAAAGATGCTCATCAGCACTTACCATCAGGGAAACAGCTCAGGTGTCCATTGACTGATGAATGGATAAACAAGATGTGGTATATAGACAGATATAAAGAAGATGTGTGTGTGTGTGTGTGTGTGTATATATATATATATGCAATGATATGTATATGCAATGTGGTATGTATATGTGTATATATATGTGTGTGTGTACAAGCAAAGTGGTGTTTGTGTGTGTGTGTAGATATATATATATATATATATATATATATATACACACACAATAGCCATTGCATGCAATGGAATATTATTGAGCCACACACACAAAAAAATGAAATCTTGCCATTTGCAACTACATGGGTGGACCTAGAGAGTATCATGCTAGGCGAAGTAAGCCTGTCAGAAAAAGACAAATACCATATGATTTCATTCCTATGCGGAATTTAAGAAACAAAACAAACTAGCATAGGGAGAAAGACAAACCAAGCAACAGGGTCTTAACTATAGAGAACAAACTGATGGTCATCAGAGGGGAGGTGGGTGGGGGGATGAGTTAAGTAAGCGATGGGGATTGAGGAGTGCACTTGGCATGATAAGCACCAGGTAATGTGTGTAATTTTTGAATCATTATATTGTACACCTGAAAGTAATAGAACACTTAACTGGAATTAAAATAAAAACAAAAAAATAAACCTCAGATACAACAAATTTTGTCCATGAAATGTGCATGACAGTATAAGAAACATGCAGAAAATAAAAATAGTTCAAAGAATTTAAAATATGACAAATGTAGAACTCAATATGTCTAGAAGAGAAAATTGAGAAAATCTTTGAAAATGGAATGAGGAACAGAAAATGAAAAAGATTAAAAAAAATGGCAAGCCATTATTCCTATTATCTAATAGGAATTGAAAAAAGTAAAATGGAAGAGAATTATACAAGAAAATTCCCCAGGATTAAGAAGCATTCTGTTTTGATTGAAAGGACCTGGTTTGTCTCCAACACAATAAATGAAAAATAACAAGATTTTTCCAAGGCATAATTGCCTGAAATTCAGAACACTAAAGCTAAAGAGAAGTTCTAGGAGTTTTCAGGAGAAAAAACAAAATGCAAATCAGGATAAAAGAAGCAAGAGTGTAAAGTCATTTAGATTTTTTAGCAGTAATATCAGTCTCAGAGTAACAATAGAGACATCTCTGTTAAAATGTCCAGCCTTGAATACTTTATACAGCTAACTATAATCAAATATGAGGGCAGAATAACGATAATTACAGACAAACCAGATCTCAATTTTTTTTTTTTTTTAAATCTTAATGCACACTTTCTCAGGAAAGTGATAGACAAATAAACCAAGAAAGAAGACATGGCTCCAGAAAACAGGGGATTGAGCACTAAGAGAGGTGAAGAGAATTGTTAGGTTCTCAGTGAAGGGACATCCCAGAGCAGTAGCTGCTGAGCTCCATGCCTGCAGAGCAAGATGTCTGAATAGGGACCGAAGGGTAGAGAGCAGGGGGTGGGTGGGAGGGGGGGGGCAGGGAATGTCTAGAAAAAAGATGCAATTCACATGTTGCCTGATATGTTTGAAGGTATTTACAAGAAATTAACACTCCTGGAAGAGAATTTGAGAATATATTACTTATACGTACATACCCCAAACTAAGTAAATCAAAACATGATGCCCTTATTAAATCCAAGAAAACATTTTATAAGAAAGAAATTGATGTCCTAGCACTCAACATGCCTCAGCAGGGCTAAGCTACATGAAACAATAGGAATGTATTCTCTGCGTACTGACTTAACAAAATATTATAATTACATTGGGAAAGAGTGTGAATGTGTATTTGTATGTCTATATAAATGCATCTGATTGCATTTGTACATGATTCCAGCCAGTCCTGCTTTCCCAGCTTCACACTCGGCAGTATCTGACAGTTTCTATGGATTTATGTTCTTTTGCTCTATGTCATTTCAGTGGAGTCTGGTGAGGGACACTACCTCTTGTGGTAGGAGAGGATTAAGACAACTAAAGTACATCTCCCACAGTGTGAAGATAATACATAATAATGGAAACAGGTTGCTTAGAAATAGGAGAGTAACTACGGAAAATAAAGGCAACATGCTGAATGTGGCTGCCTCCCATGAATGGGAATCAGGGGTAAGGAAGGGTAATAATGTGTATGGAAAAGTTGAGATAATAATTTCATTATAAATACTTATAGGAGGGAGATACTGAGAGCATTTCTTACTGGCAAAATAAGTTTCTTGAGAGCAATAACAATAATTTAAATCAATTCTTTCATTCTTTTTGCCTAGCACAGTATCTTAAAAATGTACATCCTTTGTTTTTAAAATGTACATTCTTGATAAATATTTTTTTAATGCTAGACCTCACAAAAATGCAGAATCTATGAGTACAGATGCTAAAAGAGGCACTCTTAAACTCTCCTGGCTCCCACTCCAGAGAAAGGAAGGAAACAGAAGTTAACTCTAAAGAGAAACCTCTTATTCTTCAGTAAACTGATAATGCTATGAAAGGCTAAGAACTATAATAGGGCTCATGGCTGCTCTAAATATTTTTGATATGCAACTATGGTATCATTTGAAATTTTTTTAAATTCAATTTAATTAAATATACTGTATTATTATCTTCAGAGGTAGAATTCAGTGATTCATCAGTTGCATACAACACCCAGTGCTCCTTACTTCAAGTGCCCTCCTGAATGCCCATCACCCAGTTACCCCATCCCCCCACCCACCTTCCATCATTTTTTTTTCTTATACAGATTTGGAATATGAATATCTTGAATACTGTTCATTAATTAATACAACAAATACTTGTTAAGCAGGTACTATGCACCAAAATGGCTCTGGGAGCTGGAGATACAGTGCCCCTGCACTTCCAGGGTATATAATGTAGTACTAGAGAAGTAGTCATACAGGCCAGAAGTACTCTAGGGTAGTACTCTAACCACTACTACAATGTGAAGTTATTTGTGTTGCATATGTACATTATCACTGATGAGCTACCACTTTTTGAGAAATCACTGGGACTGCTTCTCCCTCTTCCCTCAAAAACTATTGGAAATCTTTCTAGCTAACCACAAGAGGGCCTCAGTATCTGCCTGTTAAATTGAAGACATTGGATCCGTTGAAACCAGACTTAACACTTCCTTGAACTTTATAGTACATACTATTACCAATAATATTTCTACCACATTATAGGTGCCCTGAACTATATCAAGCAAATTCAAAGTCTTTAGTAAGAAAAGTTAGATCTCATTTTCTGATGACCTTCAGTGAATACTCTAAAAATGAGTTTCTACTCTTCATCTCTGTCACCTGCTTTGTTTTTTATCCCTAATTCTTATTAACCTCTAACTACTTATATCTATTTGTTCATTTTCTTTCTCCTCCTTTAGAATGTAGACTCTATGAGGGCAGGTACCTGGAGCAATTCTTGGAACTCCATAAATATTTGCAAATGAATGGATGGCCCTGCTATAGGTGCAGGGATAGGGGACAGAGGTTTCCTGCTATCATCTTGCACTGTACACAAGTCAACGTACCTGCTATGATATTGTCCAGCAGCGTGATAGGCATACAAAATATGCCAACCAGTAAATCACTTATTGCCAGGTTCAAGATAAAGAGATTAGTGACTGTATGCATATGTTTGTTCCTCATTACAGTAAAGCAAACCACTGTATTTCCCACCATGCACAGGAAGAAGATCAGAAAGTAGGAAATAATGAAGATTGCTGCCACTTGAGGCTGGTGAAGATAGTAGTTCACATAGGTGATATTGATATCTGAGTATAGGTGATACTTTGTGTCATTGACACTCCAAATGTCATGCCAGTTTTCTGAAGAGTTTGAGTCCCATCTCTCACTCATGATGGATCTGAACAAAGGAGAGGTAGAAAAGAAAAAGCATAATTAGAAGCTGGTAGAACATAAGTTCTGTACCCAAGTTTAAAAAGAACACTTTTAAAATGCTAGGGGATTTTGATGGTCCTTCTATAATAATCCATTAATTTTGCATGGAACAGAGTTATAAATAAAGTATTCAAATTATTAGGATTTTAACCAAGAAGATTTGAAATTTCCACTTTGTTTCATAAGTAACAATTAGTATTATTTATGTCCTCAATATGCTCTATATTTCACTTTATTACACCTCCTATCCATTTGCAAAGTTTCAAGGGAAACTCTGAGACCTTTTAAAACTCCCTTTCTCCTGTCTCCAGGTATCATAACCTGTCAAAACCTACTTGTTCCTTTAAGGCTAAGTTACAGGTTTTTAGCTTTCCTGGCAATTTAAACAAGATGATGTATCTACATCTTCAAAACTGTCTTTGAAATAAGCTTCTTACAGATTCCTTATTCTGCTTTGAGTCAGTTAATTGAATATTCTTTTTATTTTTTTTTAAAGACTTTATTTATTTATCTGAGAGAGAATGGGAGACAGAAAGCATGAGAGGGGGAGGATCAGAGGGAGAAGCAGACTCCCCACCGAGCAGGGAGCCCAATGTGGGACTCGATCCTGGGACTCCAGGATCATGACCTGAGCCGAAGGCAGTTGCTTAACCAAGTGAGCCACCCAGGCACCCCTTGAATATTCTTTTTATATATGCATGGATAGCCACTACACTATGAATTTCTTAAAATAAGTTCACACTTGCCTTGGTTTCACTTTACATAATTCCATTCACATAGAATGTATTCAATAAATATTTTTATTTAGAATCTATATATCTTCACCTAGACATTGCAGTCACCCTTGTGTGTCATAGGTCCTCAAGAACATGCCCAGGTTTGATGATTTACTGGAAGGATTCAGAGGACTTAGCATATAGTGTATTCACAGCTAATATTATAGCAAGAATCCTTCCAGTAAATCACCAAACCTGGGCATGACATATCAGATAAAGAGCTAGTATCCAAAATCTATAAAGAACTTATCAAACTCAACACCCAAAGAACAAATAAGCCAATCAAGAAATGGGCAGAAGACATGAACAGATATTTTTCTAAAGAAGACATCCAAATGGCCAACAGATGCATGAAAAAGTGCTCAACATCACTCGGCATCAGGGAAATCCAAATCAAAACCTCAATGAGATACCACCTCACACGAGTCAGAATGGCTAAAATTAACAAGTCAGAAAACGACAGATGTTGGCGGGGATGCAGAGAAAGGGGAACCCTCCTACGCTGTTGGTGGGAATACAAGCTGGTGGAGCCACTCTGGAAAACAGTATGGAGGTTCCTCAAAAAGTTGAAAATAGAGCAACCATACGATCCAGCAATTGCACTACTGGGTATTTAGCCCAAAGATACAAATGTAGTGATCTGAAGGGGTACGTGCACCCCAATGTTTATAGCAGCAATGTCCACAGTAGCCAAACTATGGAAAGAGCCAAGATGTCCATCAACAGATGAATGGATAAAGAAGATGTGGTATATAAATACAATGGAATATTATGCAGCCATCAAAAGGAATGAAATCCTGCCATTTGCAATGACGTGGATGGAACTGGAGGGTATTATGCTGAGTGAAATAAGTCAATCAGAGAAAAGACATGTATCCTATGATCTCACTGATATCAGGAATTCTTAATCTCAGGAAACAAACTGAGGATTGCTGGAGTGGTGGGGTGGCTGGGTGATAAACATTGGGGAGGGTATGTGCTATGGTGGGCGCAGTGAATTGTGTAAGACTGTTGAATCACAGACCTGTACCTCTGAAACAAATAATACATTATATGTAAAAAAAAAAGATAGTAGGAAGGGAAAAATGAAGGGGGGGAATCAGAGGGGGGAGACAAACCATGAGAGACTATGGACTCTGAGAAACAAACTGAGGGTTCTAGAGGGGAGGGGGTGGGGGCATGGGTTAGCCTGGTGATGGGTATTAAAGAGGGCAGGTATTGAATGGAGCACTGGGTGTTATACACAAACAATGAATCATGGACCACTACATCAAAAACTAATAAAAAATGAATAATAAAAAAAAAGTTGAAAAGATTTTTTGGAGCCGACATAAAGAGAAACAAAACAAAACAAAACAAAAAGGATATAAAGCAAAATCAGCAAATAATAAGGCACATAAGGTAAAATCTGCAGGAAACCAGCTTCTAAGAGTCTCTCTCAGTGAAGTCATACAGTGAGTTAATCCCTCCAGCAATGAGTTTGACAAATGTGTGAAGTGTTGTCTACCAGGGAAGCTCATTAGAAACTCAGTGCCCTGGGTTTTTAATTGGAGAATGGTCACATGGTACCTTCCTCCTAGGGGTATCAAAATTTCATACTCCCTGATGGAAAGTAGGTGTGCGGCAGGAACAATGTTGTTTGTACAGATCATGTATAATAAGCCACTCTTGTCATTTATGAACACTTTATATCAATATAGGGAACTGTTTTAGACTTAAGTTCCCACACTCTAACCAAGGGCAGACCTTGCAAGCAGTCCTTTCTAAAGATAGCAGGCTCAGGCCTGCTTGTTAACTCTTTTCTGCATACCTTCTAAATTGGTTGGACAGAAGGTTATATGTGCCTTTAAAGGAAAATGAATTTGACAGTAGACTTACACAACTGAGCTCCCCCAAAAAAACTTCCCTTTTTTTGGCGGGGGGAAATAATTTCAGGGACTTTGAACTGGTGAGATAATCAGACCCCAGTTTGCAGTTGTGACCTCATTATCACTCTATTTTCCAGTCTTTCAAGTACATATCTGTATCATTTTAGGGGAGCATGTTTATTCTTGTAAATACTGCATAAAGATTAAGATATGTAGTATTCATTTCAGATACTTTGGATAGTTTTCTCTATTTTAGATACAGGGAAGAGTGAACAAGATAAGTTACTATAAAACGAGTATATAAATATAAAACAAGCCAATAAAAAGTGATTTTTCTCCAATATTTTGCCATTTTATTTCTTCCCTTCTAATTTTTAAAGCTCATCTCTGCTTTTCAATATTTAATGTCCCTGAGCCCAGATAAAAATGAAAAATGAAAAGAAAGAGTACGGGATAGGGTGAGGGCTTGGAGAGAAGAAAAGAATATGATTTGAGTAAGACTAGATGTATTCTGCTAGACAGAATCAAGCTGAGAATGTCTGGGGGTCTGTCACAGCCTGACAGAATATCCACTAGCTTGATAAAAATCGTTTCAAAGTAGCCAAAAGAAAAGCATTCAACAAATACTTAAAGACATTTGTATCTAAAGCAAGGAAATGCTGTAAACATAAATGAGAACTGCATGAGAACACTGTAGGTAGCTAAAAGTTATTGCTAAGAAACATCTGTCCACAGATTCAGGTACAGCTGGAAAATATATTGGGTGGAATATGTTGTAAGAGGTAATGCTTTATATGTTCACATTCTTTTTTCTTCTACCCTAACTGAAAGCCACCACATGTTTCAGAAGCAGATATGCATTCATTGTGTATGTGTTAAGACAAGGGTATGAGGAAGGTTGAGATGGAACAAGGTTTTCAAAACCTTCCTGTGTATCAACTTAACCTCCATGTCAGTTTTTTGAGAGATGTTGCTTTTCCTCCTCTTTCAGTGAATTATTGATAAACTAAAATCAGATTTTGTTCAGGGGGCAAAATGGATTTCACTATTCCTATTATTGGCTTGATAACTCTGTGTGGCAAGAAAACATGAAACATGCATTACGGAGGAATAGCAGAAGGACGTGTAATATTTAAGCATTCTTTCCGCCTGATACATAATTGTAAAAATGTTGGATGTGAGGTCAGAGCTTTGATTATTAGATTAACCTATAATGGGGGATGGGATAATATCATCACCCATAGTATTATGGTAGTGAGGCAGAGAAAAGCCAGGTTCTGATTGATCCTGAGAAGATCCCCTTATCTCAATTTAATACACCAAGGAAAACTGTTCTTTGGTATTCTTGCATCTGGCATCTTTTTCACTGGGCACTTAAAAGTTCTATCCAGTTGATTAAAAAGCTCTAAATAAAATCACCCTTCAATTGAATACCTTTAAAATTAGAATTAAAGTATATTCTTGCATCATATTAATTCTATAGATGAAAAAATATAAGGACTAAGAAATTTGTGCATGCCAGTTTCTGGAATGCAGATTTATACTCTGCCTATATTACTGATTCAATAGTTTTAGAGTATTCTCCTGAAAATGTGTAATGTGTAATGTCTTTTAGTAGCAAAGTCTAAATTTTATAAGTTAGTATTTTACATGTTGAGTAAATGAATTGTAAGCCATCTTACCACTAATTAGTCTTATATTCATTATTTCTACATGGAAATATACCAGATGAATAAAATATTTGGTGTGGGCTTTCTTTATCATTCCTTCATCTTCCACTCTGGGGAGGAAGCAGATAAAGGTTAAACTGCATGAGCTCCATTTAGAACCCAAGTTACTATGGCTTGTCCAGACCCTAATTCTTATCTTTAGAAAGAGAGTCTGGGTCTTCAGAAAGAGAAATCAGGAGAGGAAGTCATTTAAAAATTTTCCTTCCTGTAAGTGTATTTGCCAAAACACTAACAGTGAATTACTCAGTAGGAGACAGACTGGTTGGATATTATTATATATTTGTGTTTTCTATATTTCTCAACTTTTTTCCTGTTTCCAGATTTTTTTTTATAATCTGGAAAAAATGTGTTATATCATTATCTGAATTCAATTATATAGAATAAAACCAGATGACATAGCTTAAATTCTTATAAATTCACAATCATAGTAAGTCATACACTGGCTAGCAATGGTATTATTTTACCTAAAATAGATATGTCTCCCAATTTCAATTAAGAAAGAATCCATAAAGACTCTAACCTATGTAGTTTAAATGTACTGTTTCATACATATCATCTAAAGAATTGGTCATCTGAAAAAAGAG